CCGAATGAATTCTTTTTTTTTAAGACTATATAGTCACTACCATCCTTATAAATCGTATAAACTTACTGTAAAATCGAAAAAAATAAATATTTTAAGTTAAAGTATATTTTTATTTTGCAACGTAATAAACCCAAAAACATTCTGAGATCCATTTAAAAGTTCGATTTTATTTTCGACATATTTTATGAAATACGACTGATTTTAAGCTCCGACGGCTGTTATGGTGAATCATAACGTTATTGTGCCGTTGTTTTTATGTCACAATATGGTAAACATAATATTACGAACAACGTAGTAGGTGCCTATCATTTCACCAACTCGTATTTACCAATAGTATAGGTGGTACCGTAAAACATGACGAAGTCTGTACGTCTGTTTCGGTTGGCATATTATTTTATGTGCTATTATTATTATTATAATTTATAATATTATGATGGACACTGGCGATAATAATAATAATTGAAGGTTTACGTTTTGACGCGAAGCATGTGCAACGTCGTCGTACTCATATCTCTCTCGTTTTCTCTCTCTCGCTCTCTCTCACTCTATCTCTCTCGTTCACGCGTTTTCGTGCATACAGGTATAATAATTTCCATCGCCTGTAGGTCCGAATACCGCATAGTATAAATATAATTTAAGACACGAGTATTACACTGTTACGTGATACAATATGTAACAACCTGTTGAATATACTTGCACATTTCGGAAAGGCAACGTTGACAATTACAATTTATTTCCACTCGTATTTTTTACACGTCATGTGCACTTTGCGCGAGAAATAAACAAAAATAAATACATTATTTGATACGAACTAACAATGGTAATAATTATTTTAGCCGAGAATCCATATTATATTTTATTTGAGAATGACGGCATAGATAAATTGCGTTAAAATTTGAATTTCTTCTCATACTTCGATGTATTTTTAAGAATGTTCCTTCGAGAAATTTTTCAAAGTAGAAGTTTAATTTTTATATTACACTAATGGGTCGATTTCAAATCGAGTCTCTAATTTTTTTTGAAACATTTTTGTGTACTGCGCATAGTATATTAGTTACTTTGTACGCATGGTATTTTTATTTTAAGTTCAATGTAACAAATATATAATATTATATAACCAGCTGTGTAGATATTAAGACAATTTTTAAAATATCTTAGAGAGTTTTGAATTTTGTATGGATATATTGTTTTTTAATTTTATTACCCTTCTCCTGCAATGTTTCGTCTTAAATTGAACCTATAACGACAAGTATAATAACAAAATTACGGGGGAAATCAATTTAGTACAAGTTTTAGACCAACCGTAGATATATTTAAGTTGAAAATCCACTCAAGGATTTTACATAGGAAGGAGCGTACAAGCATTTATCATTAAGGCAAAAATAAAATAAATCTTTCCTTTGATAGTTGTTGAAAGTGTTGTAATATTATATATATATATTTTAATTTTATCATGAAAATTATTAAACTATTACATATTTTAGGAAGACGGTAATCAATAATTTTGATTTAATATTAATAGTTATTGTAGCTTATTTATAGTTTTTCTGCAGTCTACATTGCTATAAGTTTAAAAAAGTACATGTGTACATCTATTAATCGTATAATATTGACCATGGCTGTACAAAGAAAAAAGTGTAAGTAATCAACAGCATTTTTTTTTTTTTTTTTGAAAGGAAATTTTTTAGACTTAAAATTACGAATCATATCCCACAGAGATTCAACGTAAAACATCGAGGTTGAAAATAGGTTTAAGTATATTATATGTACAGATGGACTTATGATCATAGGTTAAATTTGTTTATCGAAGATAATTTTTATCTGGATCTTAATAAATTGTGCTCAAAATACCAATAGATACTTTAATATCGGAAAAAACAGTAAGTTGAATGTTATTTTGAAAATTTACATTTAAATCAATTAGAGAGTCACACTATTGCATAGTACATTTTGAGTGTATCTGTGTATCTTATCATTATTGAGATTGAATAATTCACTTTAATGAATGTGTTAATTTGAATACATTAAATAATTACACATAAAAATGCTCTTGAGTGATTTAAGTAGAGACGTGTGCTAATCTTTAATTATAAGGAGTAAGGATATTATGTAATTTGTTTATACTTCTATAGGTAATTTATTTTTCTATTTGTAATTTGAAAGGTTGTACTAAATTTTTCCAATAATATAATGCATATTATTAAAAAAGTAATAATATTACTTTATTACTTTACCATAAATTGATGTTATTAATTTATAAGTTAATACTAGCGTATCGAAAATCGACGTCAATAGGTTTATCTTTTATGGCATAAACTATAAAATATAATAAATAGCTTAAAGTTAGTTTAATATTTTTAAACATTTATTGTGTGTACCTTGTAGAAAGTAATAATAGACCCTTAATGATGTAAAATAAGGCCTTAGGATTTGTATAAAAAAAAATTAAAAAATTAAAAAATAAATATTCAATTTCATCAGTTTTTAAATTTAAATTAAAAATATCTATAAAAAAAAATATTTTGCACTCTTATTATATCTACTTATTTACGTATTTTTAAAATTTTTTTTGTCTGTTATTCTAACTCTAGTAAAAACAGCTATAGTTATGTATTAAATTTAAATCCTTACGTAATAAAATTAAAAATTATAAACATTTTTAACCACTTCAAAACTAATACATAATTGTTTAACTTAGAAATTAAAATTAAAATTTAAGTGATTCAATTAAATTACAACTTATATATATTTATAGCCTATACATTGGTTGTAATTTGGTGAACTTGGTATTTATAATAAAGTAATTTACAATAATTTAATGCGAATATATTGATTGAATTACTTACAATTATTCACTGTACAATATGGTACATACAGACATACTTAACATCGATGCATACAAATGAGATATAATAAATCTTAAATCTTAATTGAAGGTTTAAAATGCGTTAAAAGTCCAATCTTTATGGATAAATATAAAATCACGCGTAATATGGCCGTATATTTTGATTAATATTTGTATTCTATACATAAACTCGTGGTAAACGCATGCTTAAAATTTGTTTTGTATCAGTAGATTTCGAAATCTGAGTTTATCATCGTTCAACACGATTCGGTGGACTACGCATTGAAAATGTACTTATAATAATAATAATAATAATAATAATATAAATAATATAATATCTAACGGAAATTTGTGTAAATAATTGTGAGTTGTGACTGAATCGCGCGTTGCAGCAAAGGACGGTGCTATTTTAAAATACCCAAACATAGTATTACAATATTGAAGAAGGCACACGTAATCTTCTGGTAAAAGTTTCACCTGGAAGAGATGGAAAATACAACTATTCTATCAACATATTATGACTTAAGAATAAAAGTCAATATAATATGGTCTCTTGACCCTATAACGTTTTCACAACGTTGTGTATAATTATTATAATTATTTATATTTTTTATTATTTTTCTAAAAATATCTCACTTAGCTCAACCGTTCTTGACTTACATTGGTAATTGGAGTGGACAGATCGCTTACTCTATTCGTATGCTCGAAATTGTGATAAATAATAATTAAAGTAAATATTTTTTAGGATTTTCTGTTATTTTTAGTAAAAGTGAAGAATGTAGGATTTAGAGGTATGAAACTTTTAATATTTATTTTTTTGCGTCTGTCATTATAATTTTTTCGGAAACATAATGTGAACCGATTTTTACATACTAGTTATATTATGTTTTAGAGTGTGTTGTACTTAAAAAATATATTTTTAAAATTCCTAAATTTAGGTCAGTTTTAATTATTATGTTAAGTATATCTAATTTAAAAAAAAAGGTAGGCAAATGGTACCGTTTTATTATACATTAGGTGTCGAGCGGATTTCGTTATTTAATAAATTATTATTAAAATTTATAATATAATTTGTTAAACTTGAATTATTCAATGATAACCAATTGTATACGATGAAAAAATGATTCTAGTGAAGTCTAGTCTCTAAATTTTTGTAATCATGGTCACAAAATAATGATTTTAATGATAATATTGGATTTGTTTAAAAATTTTCTTTTTTCTTTAATTTTTTGTTTGTTTTTCCCGATTATAAAAAAAGTACTAAGAATTTTGAGCTTTTCAAAGTGCAAACTAATTTACTATATAAAACCATCCTTAGAGTGAAAATTGAAGCATTTTAACGTGTATAAAGACAAAAAAATAAAACACACATCATAGTAAAATCAATACATTCATCACTAACTAGCTCTTAATTTAAAATATCAATGCTAGAGATTTGACGTTCTTATCATTTAATGGAAAACATAATATTATACATTTATAAACGTCATACGTAAGTGTACAGTAAAATATTTGTTTATGGTCACATTTTAATCATTATACATCCCTTATAAGTAGCGGGCTCCTCTTAATGGACACATTTTAAAATCCCCAATGGTTTTCGCTATAGAGAGGTTTCACTTTAACTAATAGAAATTCACAAACAGTATAATGATGTTTCAAATAAACAGAGATGTTAAAAATGTCCTCCTTTATTCTATACCTGCTGATTGAAAAAAAAAAAAAAAATAAAGAAATAAAAATACATTAAGTAACATTTGGAATTTGTATAGACTTGTTTCCACCGTCCGGCGTGCGTAAACGTGTGGTGGGGTTATCCGAAAGCGTCGTCTTGAAACGGGACTAGAATCGAAAAGACAGTGAATAGAGTTACGTAAAAATAAAAAATAAAAACGAACACGAAACGCGTTTTATCTTGTTCGACCTTCTCTCTTTCTCACTCTATCTCTTTCTTACACACACGCGTGACTCTCTCTTTCTCTCTCTCTCACACACACACACTCGCTCCGTGTCAAGCTTTCGACGCTGCCGGACACGCGTGCCTGTTAGGAGACGAATAAACGGCACCTGCAGCAGACACATGGCGCGCGGTGGTTTCCCCCGGTTTGTCGACGGACTTGTTACACCACACGCGGCTGCTGTTGCTGCTTGCATCGGTGGACCGCGATTAAACAGAAGAAAGTGAACGTGGTTTCAGGTCGGTAACACGGCGGAAGGGGTCGGTAACAGGCTGTCGTCGTCATCCTCGGACCGCTCTGAGGCGCAAACGGCACGGCACTCACGCGTTGTTCACAACTCGATTAAACGCACACGTCTTGTCGTCGTAGTCGCAAATTTGATCGATTTTGAGAAGTTGTCCGACGGTCAATACTCCGGGTGAGTAAAAATCACATGTATTTTATTTGTTTTCGGCAGTGTATTATACACGCGATTTACCTATAACGATTATAATAAGCGTCACGATCGTATTCGCGACAGACAAAAACATCGGTTTCGTTAAAAAAAAAAAAAAAAAAACTATATGATAATATCATTGTTATAAATAATTGATGATTTTTTGTTGTTGTGTTATAGCGTGTACAGTTTAACATTAACTATTTTAACGGTTACCATATTATTATTATATTATTAGTAATTTATTGACTTAGAGAAATATGTTTGGAATATAAACCAAAATCGATTATCTTGCACTATAGTTGGTAATCACACGCACGCACACACACACACACACACACACACACACATTTATATATAGGTATAAATACTATCATGGATTTTCGTCATGAATATTATTTATTGTATTTTATATAATCTCTTTTACTGCTCGTTCGGGCATGTTGGTGAGGTGCGAATGTGTTTTTTTGTCTTTTTCTTCTCACTTCCATCAAGTGTATTATCTAAGATACAAGGAATTTTAACCACATTAAAACAAAAACAATGATAAATCTCTGGCGTTAACGTCACCCGCGTGAATAAGACTATAATATGTACGAAACATGCATATCTTGTCGAATTCAATTACGTACATTTAGTGTTAGTAAATCTAACACTCCGTCAGATATTAATCGTTTTTCTTTCACACGACTTAACTGATATAATGATTAGTCGCTATAATTATAAACAGTGAGCTCCTGACGGTGAAAAAGTAATGTAATCAATTTTATTCATCTCCTATATTATTTCATACTATTATAAAATTAAATTTATTTTTAAATTTAGATGAAATGTATTATATTGTACCAGTGTTGACATTGTTTTTTAATTAACTAAAATAAGAAAGTCGAGATTGTAAGCAGATATAAGTAGTTATCAAAATAAACCGACAACTGTTATACACTATATTATACCTATTAGTTATAGAATAAATTAAAAACATAAGCTACACAGAACTATTCATTAAAATTAATAAAAAATATTTACTTGTGCTATTTATGTCCTACGTATAGGTACTATTGGTACTCAGTGATTCATGCATGAAAATCGAACGATTGAGTGGGATTCTCAGACTTAGTCCTCCTCTCTAATCAATCTAGTTGTGTCAATGTTAGTTTTATTGTGAAAGACTCTACTCGAGTACTATGTAATAACACTAATAACTTTACAATATCATATTACTGATAAATATTACCTTTAGGCTTTAATCATATGCATCAGGGAAGATGTTTTTAGGTCAAGTAGGTACACCAAACAAAATATGTTTACCATATTTTTATAATGAAAAAATATAATAACCAATACAATATAATCTTTTATATTCATTTTAGTTAAAAAAAAATATACAAAATGAAATTTATTTTAACAAAACAAAAAAAAAAAAAAATCAACTAATAAGTCATATTTAATAGATTTGACATAATACTTACGTATCATTATAAGTAATCGGCCAATTCATTTTGATTTTTCGAGATTTATTAACAATTTTAATAAAATGGAAAGACAAAAAAAAAATGTATTAAAGAATAGTAAGACCCAAGTATATCATCTATACAATTTTGTATGATTGAATGCCCGGATTTTATTTTTAAGTTTTTAATTTTATAAATGTTTACCTCAGATAATTAATATTAATATTTTATTTATACTTAAAAGTTCTTAGTTTAATTTTAAATTGTTTTCAAGGCGTTTTTAAAATCTGTGTATTAACATATTATTATATGATATAATAATGCAAGTTTAAATTTCGTAATTCACAATCGTGATTTTTCTTATTTCTCGATAAAGCCATTTATTTATGAAATTGTTGCATTTATAGGTACATTAAATTATACTAAACCTATAATTTATTTTAAATTTTATGAAAAATATCAAGTGTGGTTATATGAAAATTTTAACTTTGGTAACTTTGATCATATTAATAACAAAGCTTAAAAGGTATTTAATATTTACCTACTATACAAATATACATTATAATTTATCACATTATTGAAGTAATGATGGAAAGTAAAGATTATAAATATCGAGAAAGGTAAAAATAAAGTTTCAAAGCTTAAAATATACTCTTTTATACAAATATAACAAAAAAACGATAGAATTCGCTCAATTATACTGAAGATTTCAAACGTATCTAATCAGTATAAAATACCTAATAAGTGATTTTATAATATGATGGAAGATAATGTTGATTTTTTAGATAAATAGACAACGCGCTTAGTAATTAATAATACAAATAACAATCTACAATGAAAGTAAATTTGTTTTGAACATTAAAATAAAAATAACTTTAATGAAATACAAAAATTCTGAATTTAGTAATTACATTAATTTGCAATACGTTTGTTGCTAAACATCTGTCTGTCAATATTATAAAAGACCACTGAAAATTAAGATCATAAAACATCGTTTATTTTCTTTTTTATCGGAAAAATAATAAAAATAATACTAAAAAAATATGAATAATTAAAAAAAAAATTACATTATTATTATTACTTACAATATGTATAGTTATAAATAATTGAAAATAAGTGTAATAGTAAAATAAATCACCTTTATCTTCTTCCATTTGACTACCACTGTACCTAATAATTTAATCATTGAGTAGTCTACTGTAATAAATTTGTTAAATTTAATTCAATTATATAAGATATTGTAAGCAAAAAATTATTTTAGACTTTATTTCTAAGAAATACTTAAAGATATTTAAATTTATTCATATTCATTATATTAATAATAAATGTTTTTAATAGTAAAAAAAAAAAGATAAAATTTAGTAGGTTGAATTAAATTTTAACAAAAACATCGAATAATATAATTTATTCTAATATTATAGGTAATATCATTGATTATAGAATATGATAATTATATACATATGATATTATAGTATATTCTATAATCAATAGTAATATGTACTATAAATAATATAATATTATATTCTCGTTATTATTAATTCATAAGACCGACGTATTTGTAAAATGACGTGAATAGGTTCATGATATAAATAGCATAAAATTAATTTAGACATCGATATAATGATGTTATTGAGTATAAAATATGATAGTTTAAGTTATAGTAGAATGTTTCGGATCTCTAAGATTAATTATATCATATTAAATGCTACAACTGAATAATAATCGCTATTTAAGTTTGAACATAGAATGTTGTTAATAATTGAGCTTTAAAAACTGATGCATATTACAATTTTATTATTTTTTATTTCAGAAGTAAATATTTCTGAAAAATATTATATTTAATTTCTGAATGTTATGTTAAAATTTTCATAAATAAAAAAATAATACATATATTAATTTATATAGTTTTATATTTTGTAAACAATTTCATATTTAAAAAGCTTTATTTGAGTTGTAAGTTTATTAATTATTTTTATTTTATTAAGGCTTTAAATACACGGTTTATTAGCCAACAATAGTTTATAACATATTATAAAGTTATATTTTATTCATGAACATTTTTTTTAAATATTTTACATAGTGTGTAGTGAATCACAGTAAAAACAAAATTGATTATATTTGGTTTTCAGTATTTTTTCTTTTAGTTTCTCCCGATAATTTTTCTAAGAAGGTACTGGGATTTCCATCTTTTGATATTTCTGAAAGTTTACTACAAACAAAACCCAATTTTTTTCCAGAAATTACTTATAAGGTTTATTAAAAAATGAAAAGAAAATATTCGTTGTCATTGTAAACGCATAATACATATACTATATTAGTTATTGCTATGTATAAAATTTAAAATACAAGTAGAAAATCGGTAATTACTATATTTTTAGCATTTAGATAATTTGGTTTTCATATATAAAATATAATATTTTTTTGTTGGTTATTACGTTATTTATTATTAAACACATGATTTCACTGTTAAATTAAAATCAGGTACGTGTTGTCGTATAATTTTAATACATAGAATAATGAATAATAGGTATATGCACTTACTATTTGTTGGGGTTCTTATAAGTTATCTGTATAGAAAGTTCATGTGTAAGAATAAATGATCAAATCTGTCACATATTAATAATTATTAATATTCTCCATTAACTTTTTAAGGATTATTGTATCTGATGGTTGTTAAATAGGTACAGTTTTTCATTTGTAACCGGTCCAGTATAAATCATTTATGTAAAAATTGTCTAGAACATAATTGATTATTTATAATTGTTTTTTGATGCTTAAGTGTTTTCTTTAAGAAAAAAGTATTTCATAGTTATTATTTTTTACATGAGTTTAAACAAACAAATAAATCCAATTTGAAATTGGGTTATTTAAGTAAAATAAATTACGATTTCAAACACAAATAAATATATTATACCAAAAAACGATTTATATAATAAAATGTAAAATAAATCTATTGATTTGAACATATTCCTCTCTCCAAAAATACACTTTGATTAATGTTCAATATATTCGTAATAATCAATACAATTTTTTTTTTTTTTTGATTAAATTATAATACTCGTATCATTATTTATTGTTACAAATTAAAATGAATTTTCATATATCTATTTATATATAGATTATATATAGGTAATCCAATATTGTTAAAAATATCATTAAATTATCTTATCAATAAAAATTTCGAAAAAAAATTAACAGAAACAAGCGAGTGAGAATAGTAGTATAGCGATAGCTTAGATCCATAAACTATAGTAGTATAAACTTTTACTATTGCTCGCTTATAGAGATCGAAATGATGGTACTATGGTTCGTGATTAGACGAAGGGATTTTGACAAGAATGTTTAATTTAATTTAATTGGGTTATTTGGCAGAACCCCATAATTGGATTCTATACATTCTATGAGCTTGAAAAGAATTGTGGTTCAGGATTGAATTATTGCTTGATGGTGTATATTGACGGTTGCAATAAATTGTTCTGTTTAAAAAACAATCATCCGATATCCAGTGAACTAAACATAAGCATAATATTA